TCAAGATTTTTTAATTAATTTTACTTCACCATTTGCCTACATTACTTATTCTAAACCTTCTCTGTAAATTTGGACAGTTCAAAATAACCCTATATATGTAGACTGTTGGCTCGTTTATCTGCAATACATTATTAAAAAAATACGGTTGACTCTACAGGCCATGCTTGCAACTTCCGCTAATTTCAAATGCAAAGCGCTACAAATTTCACCAGTTACAACATTTTTCAGGTTTTCGAGCTTTTTTAATTTTGATGCGGTTTGCGGCTAATCGATTTTTCTTTTTTCGATTTTTTTTTTATTTTAGTTATTTTGTAAAAACACTTTTTCGTGATATCTTTCGACAACGATATATCTCGAAAGAATCAACCGATTTTGATGCGGGTCACGGCAATCGGCGTCTTTTTTTACGTAAAAGGGCTGATTACATTATATAAATGAGGTAGTCTTACAATCTACAATGCCAATTCGGTCTAAATTCACTGAAAATCTAAGTTCAGCAAGAGCTTATCAGATCCATAGGACCTCGAAACGTCGAGTTCTACTGAGATTTTCAAAAACCTGGATGTAAACAATAACTACCTACCCGATTTTTTTGAAAATCATTGATCTTCATAAAAGGAAGGTATAAAATCAACCAAATCAACCCGGTGGCCCGGATACACCAATTACGTGTAACGAAATCCAACTATTAATACCACTGTTGCAAAAGTTAAACGGCAGTTAAATTTAATTTTTATAGATGATAACTACATGATTTCAAAAATCTTATTACTAAATACCAAACGTGAAACGAGATTTAAAGATTACAAACAACTATTACTATTTATCAATTACACCACTAACTTGACTTCATCAGTAGAATGTTATATAAAACAACTTGATTCATAAGGAACTATAAAATCACTCTCAAAATGAAGATACGTTATGGATTAAGGTATTTTAAAATAAAATCTTCCATAGTTAATCATAGATATTGAATTTCGATCAAATTCTTCCCTACGCATCTCAATTGCTTTACTTAAAGTAGGACTGGCGCTTCATTCCTTCGTTCCTTATTATTAATCTAGGATTTATAAAAACAATCCAAAGTATAAAACACGCTGAAAGAATCCTGCTACAAATTTTGTAAACATGTTTTATTCGCAATCGATAAAAATCATCCCGCAAAAACGTTTCCAAAGCCGAATTAATTTTCAATGTAATGATATTCGAAGTTGGCTCGTAAAAAATGTGGAGAGTTTGTTTTTTATTTATTATATATAAGCTTATTTTCATACAAAAAAAATATGTTCGCAAAACTTACTGCTTGGCTCGTCGTAATTAAAGGAGACAAATTTACTTCGTAAACCAGAGATTAATATTCAATAAATATCTCAAATTTATTAAAACTTTTTTATTTACCAGGCGTAAATAATAATTATTTTTAAAACACGGTTTTATGTTGTCGATACTATACAAAAATATAAATTTTTATTTGAATTTTTGTTCAACTTGTAAAGTATTCGATTTAAAGCCATATTTAAAAAAATATGGCTAAATAAAACAGGTTTCTAAAATCACTACTTTCATTACTCTCTTTGTATAGAATATAATGTTTATTAAAAATATATCTGATTTACGAAAGGAATCCTGGGAAATAGCATAATTATTGTTTTTAAATGTGTGTTTAGTTAATTGAGTATTGTACTATTATTAAGCGTTCGTTCTAAGTAAGATTCTTTATAAGTTCTAGTTCTAAAGAAAATGGCAGATTTTTGAACTAAAGGATAGCGTTATGTTCAAAATTTCTCGGCGTGATGATAGACTTCTACTAGATACGCAGTAAAACCAGAGTGACCGACACGTGAGAGTGAGAGTCACAACGGATTAGTAAGCCAAAATGACAATGAGGCGGATATATCACAAGAAGAACCGAAAACAAATGAAGAAGATAGGTTGTCAAGTTGTGGCCTCACTTTCATTTAAAACGTTACCTCACACCATCTTACACGTGTGATTTTCCCGTGTATCGTGTTGGCAGTTTACAAACATAAATTGCACAAGGATCAACATCCAGACCCGTAACAATTATTTGTAGGCCTTACAAATACTTTTTCCGTATTTGCTCGAATTCGTACGAAGCAGCATTGAATATCAAGCAATTGTACTAACTGCAAATCAAAAAATCGGAATTATGAAAATTATTACATTCGATACAACATAAATCATTCGTGATATTAAACAAATACTTCCTGATAACATGAAGTTATTTAAGAGTCATGGAGATGTCAGTTATAATAAATAACATTAGGAAACAATTTAACTAACTTCGAACAAACTTGTGTCAAAATGTTATGCGGAAACACTTCGTACTTTAGAGGTCCAACACGGTTGACCTCACGCTTTTGAGTCTATTATAACCTTACATTTAAAGTCTTCTTCGTGACGGGCCATTACAGTTATCGAGATATAAAAATTAATTTTTACCTTTCACGGTTATCATATTATGTACAAATCGATTTTATTTAACATCGTTATTACTAGATGAATTGTGCATAAGGAAATATCGATATTCGATCTCAGTAGCTGTTAAAATATTTAATTGTTATTCAAAATAATTTTAACCTTCGATAGTATGTTTATTACGATTTTAACTACAGAATCTTCTTTATTTTACAATGTTTCAGTTTGCCAGCACTTCGTTTTGCTAACTTTTAATTTAATAGTCATATCGATATTGTTTTTCTGGTGAGCAAATGCAACACTGAATTTTATTATAAAACGCGACGCGATTTACTTGATTTTATTTTAGATAAATTAGTCTAAAATATTATGATCTATGTAGGCCTATGATTAGCAATAGAGTTCTGAAGAACTGACGATGATGTTTTTTTTTCCTTCTGACGAGAAACGGGAGTTAACCGCTACATGTACTGAACGAATTTCCCAAAGGAAAAGTTTTCTTTTTCTATAACCAACTACTTCAATAGCCTACCAGAAATAAAAGTAGACCCTCGTTCAGCAGTGGGATGTAGTAGTTACTAATTGAAACTTAATTTTTGCGATCAAAAAGTTAGGTTTCAGTTACTCTTACATCCCATTTTTTATTGGCTTGAATCCGCAAGTAATCTTCTGCTGTAAATCAGTACGAATACTTTTTTTTTTACTTAAAGTGGTCTTTTACTGTGTCAATATAATTAGTAAACTATGAGATGAAAAGAAGTTTTTAGTGTCAAGGGTGAGTTACGAAAATAAAAATTGAGATATTACTCATTAGCAGCTAAGGATGTGTAAAAACTTTGACTTGCTTAGTCAACGGATGCACTGCAGCGTCAAATATGCAACATTTTTTATATTTATTTAACTGTTTATTTACCTAACATAATAGAAATTTACACTGTTCAGTTATACAATTTGCCAAATTGCCTAGCAGTTTGTTAACAGATTTTTTTAAACTTATTTTTGAACGGACTTTTTGTTTTATGTGTAAGGCATTCTTCCTGTAATTGTAACAAATGTTTGATGTTAAATATTGGAACGTTACGCAGTCTGCGCGTAGTCTTATTAATGAGAATAAAGCTACTTAACGAGTCACATTAGATTGTATAATAGTTATCACACGTCGCAAGTGATATTTTAAATTGCTCGTGAATCGATATTAAATTAACTCCTGGAAAAGTTACTCATAATTACCCCTAAACTTAATTTTAGCTTTTAGGCATATAATATACTATATATGTATTATAATAAGAAAAAAATTGAGAATAGTTAGTCAGAAATTGAACTATTTACCGACTCGTATTTTAAGGCCAATTTTGATAATTGAAGAACTCTCGAGTATAATAGGAAGTTGTCAACTGCGTCGAATATAGTGCCTAAATTGTTCGTGCAAACACAAAGGCGTCTACTCGTTTGGATCGAAAGTAGTCTAGGAAGCTAAGGCAATGATACCTAGCTAATTACAATAATGTAATAGTGGACAGATGATGCCTAAATATGCGATCTTGTGTTTTATATAGCTCCGAAAGAGATTAGGAACGTCGCGAATCCTATTGACGTTTAAATATAGAATTTAAAAAAATTAGATGAGAATTTTATTTAGTAATAAATAAAATAAAATTCTCATATAATAGTTATACCTATATTAAGATGACTATAAAGAGATTGTCAATTGTAAGGTCAATGTTGATGGTTAGACAAATTCATGACAATTCATAAACATTCAATGCGTCGCTTATCGTTTCGTAATAAAGAGCTATTCTAAATATGAATGACACTTGACACTAATATGCCAAATCATTTTTTATCACACGCGAACTTTTAACTGTGCTTTTAAGATGCCGATTATTTGATTAAAAAAATAGTATAATATTATACAAATTTGTTGTTAGTTTACGATTGTAAAAATATGACACTTTACCCTAATTGAAGTAATTATTTTTATGATTATAATGTAAGCAGATCGATGCATATTGCATATTGTATGTAAAACGTTAATAAGACTTTTTGCAGGATTTTTATTATATAAATAATAAAGATGTTAACTCAAAAATTTCTTAATATCCAACATATCTGTCTGCAAATATTATATTCTTTTTATTTTAAGAACTACGTTCAATGTGGTATACATTTACATACAATTCAATGTGTAAATGCAATCGATATACGCTTTGTTTGAAAACATCCCTTTTTTCTTTCCGTTTGCTTTTTTTTATCTGTCTATTATAAATGTGCAAAATGTTTATGAAGATATTACTTGATATATATTACTATATATATACTTATATTATAATTATATATTACTAGCGATCCGCCGGTGGTTTGTGATCCGAGTGGTTTCTGGTTCTCGACAACAGCGCCACCTACCGGGTCCAAATGTTAATTCAAACGATGCAGAGAACCACTCAAATATATACAAACAATTTCATCAAAATGGGTCAAGCCGTTTTTGAGTTTTAGCTAGACAAACGGACATCAACTGGTTCTATTTATAGAGATATATATATTTTTATTTGTTTCAGGGCCCCATGAAGCGGCTGTCATGCACATAGCGACATTGATTGCATTCGTGCAGGTACGTAATCGCACTATCACTCTCAAATTCATCTCAGTGAATTACCTATATTCAAGCAAAGAGACGTTTCACAAATTTCAAGCAAAGACAGTGAAAGTAGTCTACTTATATTACTTATATAATAAAAAACAAAGGATGTATTTAAATACATCCTTTGTTTTTTATTCTTAATTTCAAGTCTAAAGTCAATAATATTTCAATAATATAGAGTGTATACTGGCTGGCTCAGCAGACTTTGTTTTGCCCTTTCAGGAAGTAGCGCAATGATTCGCACCCCAAATAATTTCTGGACTTAGACAGTGTGCTCGACCGCATCACTGATTAAAGGATTTTCTTTTTGGCACTAAAGCAAAATATTATGAATATGCATATGTCATTTAGGTCCACAAATATAGTATTTCTTATTGACTTGACCACAGCGCTAACTACCAATCAATCCTGTCGTTCAGTAGTTACACGATCACTAACAGAGGAACTAATGATTGTATAAGATGTTTTAGTAATAAATAAATGTTAGGAATATGAGACTTTTATACTAAGACATATCTGCACAAGAATTTTAAAAATAAAACAAGAAAAACGATACTTGGTACTATGGTTGAGTAATTAATACTTTTGTTACATATTCCAAAGTAAATTCGGAGCGAAATTCATCGCGCCACCTATATGAAAAGGCGGGGCAATGTCTGCCAGACCAGATAGTGCTATAATACATATTGCTTTAACTGCTTACGAAATGAAGTGTATTATATCTTCGACGTAATGTAAGAAATTAAAATTGACTTTGTCGAATGTCACTTTTCGCCCAAATCTACTTCCATTTTCGTTACATGTTTAATTGCGTGGCAGCGTTAGAAAATCCATCATCACATTTCGTACCGCGGGTGTCACATGATGGTTGACTTCTTTAGGTCATTCCATAAAAACCTTATTCGACAGATGGCGATATAATAATCCTCTTAATGCCAGATTTAAAAATGCAGACCACCACGGAGTGGCACCATCAATAGCACTAGTGCAAGCGTAAAGATTATGGTCAATTTTCCCTGCAATAGCGGTGGTCCATGTCTTACAGTCGACTTTGCGGACGGATGATGATGACATATATTTGTATATTTAAAAAAATATTTACATATTTTCATATATTCGCTTTTATATGGTATGGACCCCTGCCTGGCCCGGAATAACTAATGTTTTTGATATGTCATATCATCTATATTATGTTTACTTCTGTATAATAATATTATGCAAATACTACATAGATGCACTTATGTTTTTGAACAATACAGAATGTACTTCTTTGTTTATTTATAACTTGTGTATACGGTGCATGAATGAACTAAGAAAAGCGATAATATAAATCATAAAAGAACAATATCGGACCCGTTGAATTTTCACAGTGTTCAATGGTTGGTAATAACGCGAAAAATTGCGTGAGACTGGAAAAATTAGCATTGTGTCCGCATGAACAATGTTTAGATAATACTGATAACCGAGCGACGGCAATCAATCTTCTGAGTAAGTCAGTAAAGGTTCGTTTCACATCTCATAGTGCTCATCGGTACATTTGCTATACACAACAGTGTTCCCTACATCGCAACCTTTAAATAATATTAATGAATACTTCGTTGATATAATGATTTCTTATATTTACGCGAACACTACACATTGAAATAATACTAGTTTTTACGGATTTTATCGCGTATATTTAACTTTTTAAATACCCGATGTTTCGAGAGCTATAATAAATAAAATTAAAACCCAACCCAAACATACCACTGCAAGACTTCAAGATACCATAAGTTCATACTGTGTAGATCGGAACAAAAGTTAAATTTTAATCTATGGTAACCGCGGTTAACTATGACATCTGGACGTTGAACATCTCAGTCCCCCCCGTGAACATGGGTGCTGTAAAGCTCTCGAAACGTCGGGTATTTAAAAAGTTAAATATACGCGATAAAATCCGTAAAAACTAGTATTATTTCAATACATCGTTGATAATAACCTCTATGAATGAGATAATCCTTCCCAAGCTGTATCTAAAATGATTTTTATAATAGATTGTACGTCTGACTCCTGGGCACATGACCCTTCTCGTTTCTAAAGAGTTTTTAGGGCACCAAAGGGTCCGCAGTGCTGCACAAATGTGTGTTAGTGGACTTGAGACGTCTTCCAAATATATCTTTTTATCTCTCAGACATGCATCTGTTTTCACGATAAGCTGGAATTGCTAGTTAAAAAAATAGTTTAATACAACTGTGAATAGTCCATTATCTACGTCGGCATAATGTAACTAAAAGCTTGTAATAAAGCAAATTAATTGCACCTAGCTTACTTATCTCTGTACAGATCGTATAATGTCATAATTCTTAAGACCGAAGCACACTAAATGCATATAAAATGCAGTAACTATGAATCAATATGGAAAATGTCATACGGTCTGCATTCTGTCTGCATGTATGTAGGCAGTAAGACGTACCTATTCTGTACATTTGCATGTATTTCAACTAGTATCGCAACGCATACGTATTGCACACGTTACGTGGATGCATTTGTAGTGCTACGTCATTATTTTAGGTATGAAAAACAATTAGTTAATAAAGCTTTTTTCTTATTAATCAATAAGTTTCTGTAAAAGGATCATTGTAAAAAGATTAGATCAATAAGTTTTTGTAAAAGGATACTTATCAATGAGTTATAGAAATGCGTTCTATTTTTTCGAATCTTAATTTTATTGGTAGACCAGGCTACAAAAAACTAAATTAAAAACTATAACCATTTTTTTTTCAAACTTCACATTTGGCGGGAATTTGGTTCGTATATAAAATGGGGAAATTATTTAGCTGAAATTCTAAAGCTTTTGTTTGGGACAGTTCAATTTTGTCTTAACTCATATCTCAAAACTCAAAAAGGTGGGCGCGCGCTGCGTTCATCGAAAGTTAACAGACACCAAAAAGAAAGCAATTTCAAAGCTAAGTTTAGCAATAATTGACAGGATAGATCGAAATTCTTTTGCGCTTGTTTCGTATTTGTAGATAAATCGTGGGTACACAATTTAGACCCAGACCAAAGCAAGGTGTGAAAAAGACCGTCTTCCCCGCCAGTCAAGAGATTCAAGTTATCTTCGTCTGCTGGAGAAATAATGGCTTATGTCTTCTGAGATGCGGAAAGTATAATAATGAGCGAGTATTTAAGTAAGGGAGAGATAATAAGCGCAGATTATTACGCATCATTAATCAAGAAATTACGCGAAGAACTAAAGAATAAACGTCGAGGAAATTTGCAAGCTGTAGTGCTTTTTTATGATGCCCGTGCCTATTGATGCGATGTTGCAAGCTCTGCCATCCGAACTGCTGGGTTTCACTTAATGCAACACCCAGCATATTCTCAAAGTCTAGTTTCGAGTGATTTTTAGCTCCTTACTCACCTGAAAATACTTGCGCGCTACAAAATTCGACGATGACGATGAGGTGACGTGTGCCTGTTTCTCCAAGGGAATTAACAAACTTCCAAAACGTTTTTCAAGGTGTATTAGCTTTAAAGGCGATTATGTTAAAAATTAATTTAATTAACATATACTTATCGAAGAGTTCACTGTGTTTCTAAAAACTTATCGATCAACCAGTATTACAATATTACTCATTTATTGAGGTCTCAATCAACTTACGTCATACCAATGGCAAAGCTACTTGATACCTTAATAAGTTACTTATATTGAAATACTTATTTCCGAATATTTCCATTACAGCCTATAAAAGTCCATATAGGCTGTGTTAGCTCAGATGGTTAGCGCTCGCTGTAAATATAACAGAACGCGAGTAACCCGGGTTCGTCCCCGACGGCACCAATGAAATTGTTAATTACAATTTTAAGTGCGGATTTACCACGTGCTCGGCAGTGAAGGAAAACATCGTGAGGAAACCTGCATGTCTGAGGAATAAGAAAAAAAATTTCGAAGGCATGTGAAGTTCGCCAACACGCATTGGGGCAGCGCGGCGGACACTTCCTTTCCCTAAAACCCTCTCAGAAATGAGGAGAGGCCTGTATCCAGCAGTGGGACGTACATAGGCTGTAACTTTACTTTACTATAAAAGTCCACTGCTGGATATAGGCCTCTCCTACCTCGTTGCGTCATAGGGGTAATTTTGCCCTTGGAGTTATCCAAGGCCTGAGATTGAACTTTAAGCGACTAATCCTAACCTGACGAGTGTGTAAGCGTATCGCCGTTTCAATCAGGTTATTCATGTTATTCACCGAATCATTAACGTCACTTGCACCGTTAATTAACGACCAATCTTTGTTTTTCAAATACGCAAGAACCCCATCAAAATCAGTGATAGATCTTACCCTGCTTATACTTTACTATAAAAGTCCACTGCTGGATATAGGCCTCTCCTACCTCGTTGTAGTCGTCATAGGGGTAATTTTGCCCTAGTTGCCACGCTTGGGATGCGAGTTGGCAACCGCAAATTTTTATTGTTTTGATTTTATATATATTATAGTTTATGTTGTATATATATATATATATATATATATATATATATATATACATATATATATATATAATAGATACAACCACGTTAAGACAATCGGGATTGGCTCAACCGGACTCGCTGACACAAAAAAAAATGTTTTTTATAGTGGAATGCAGCATTCTATACTCCGGTTCGCGTTACTTATTATATGTTTCGAATATACAATTGAGTGAACAGTACCAGAATCATTTCTGCTTTAATTTTTATATAAGCTACCAATGCTTTCAGAATAATTTTGTATGGAATATTTTTAGAATAATTTCTAAGGGAATATTTATATCCGCGTTGCACAGAAAGCCGGCTGCTTTATCTCCTTGAGCGTCTATACTTAAACTTAACGAGAAAAGAAAAAACGAGAAAAGAACCAGACCACCTTACGTGAACCCCACGAACCGATAATCTACAACAAACGAAAAATATCGTTATTTTAATTTCTTACCACAAAAAAGAAAGAGTTTTTATTTCATTTCAAACCCTCAGAAACTTATACTTGCGATTTGTAAAATTACTTCAATTGAAATTGATAATTGCCTCTTGTGAAAATGTACCTGAGTATACATTTTAACGTCAAGTCGTATGTATGTTTTATAAAGATTATTTGAGATTAACAAAGGTCACATTGTTTTGACAAATAGCCTGTAGCTGTAAGCAACATTATTGTTCAGATTTAAAGATAGAGCACACTAAATGCGCGTGCGTTCGCTTACGATGAGGCAGCAGTTATGTTGTATAAAACTGTATGGGAAAACGTGGCATTGCTTGCGTTTCAAGTGCAGCCCAGTCGACAGGCGTAGTGGCTTTCTTAACAGGTTCATATAATAATATTAATCAGAATGAAATGGCGGCATAAGAATGGCGTCACGTCCCGTATCATATCGTGGGCATACTAAGAAGTGATAAAAGGAAAAAGCCAGGTCAAGGGCAGAAATGTCTTCCAAATAACAACTATAAAATAAAATAAAACTTTAATTGCACACTCGCCTGCCAAGCATGTCACCTGTGCCAAATACTACCGCATTTAGACAGTCCATAAGGAGACCTTTGTTCCGCAGTGGATTTTGATAGTCTATAATGGTGAAGCGGTGAAACGGTAAAACAACGTACATGTCATGCGTACGTACAAATAAGTACAGAGTAGTACTTATTTGTACGTGAGTAGAGCCACGCTACAGCTTTATTAGTTGCAGCATGAGTTGGTCGGCTCGACCGGGGTAGGATAACGCTCTCACAGAATACCAGTATGACACAGTAACAGTTTACAATTTGAGAAGTGACAAGTGCGAGTGGCAAGTGAAATTGACAAACGACAAGTACTTAGTGTGTGTGAACAGACAGAGACAAGTGATAAGTGTGAATAAAATGCGCACTAAGCACTTGTCATTTGTCAGTTGCACTTGTCACTCGCACTTGTGTGTAACCATAAGGCACACGGCGTAAGGACCGGTTTACATTTGTGTGCCTTATGGTGAGTGTTAAAAACCGAAGACTGTTTTTAATAGTTACGAAGCATTCCATCTTAGTCCTCAGGGTTGAAGGCGCACCTGTAGTGGTCTGCGGGAATGTTCGTCAACAATACATCCATAAAAATACGTATTTTTTTAACTCGACTTCATCGCTGTAGCTGTCGCTCGCTACAGCTGTTTCAGATGGCGTCCAAACCCTCACTGCGGCAGAGTTGAACCTTCAGCTGGCTGGTGACAACTCTTTATCACCGTTCTACGAAACCAGTGATGATACCGCGGTGCATTTTATGCGAGGGTCGAGGGCAGTTGACTCTCCTCTCTCGCCCGATATCGATGTACAATGTACCGCTGATTATATTGAAGTAACGGTTGAATTTGCTGATGTATATGACGGTATTATATACAGCAAGGGATACCTGAACGATCCAAAATGCAAGTAAGTACATAATATCTATTTATTTCGTATTATGTTTTAGCATATTGCCAAATAAAGGTTATAAAATTATACGAGGTAGAGCCACGCTGCAGCTACATTATAGTTGTGGCACGAATGGGTCGGCTCGACCGGGGTAGGATCACTCTCTTACAGAATACCAGCGTAAAATATAGCATTTTTTTGTTTCGCATTGTGAGTATACAGAACCAGAGACCCCTTTTACTGGAAATGAGGCAAAGGCAAATTCCATCATAATTATTAGGGGTGGCAAGGCATCTGCATTTTGATTCCTAATTAGGGATAAATTTAGATGTCTTCGGTATGCGCCCATTTGTCACCCTCATTCAATAAAAAAGAGGTAAGTATGTTTTTTCTTTAAATATCTTTTATTTTTGCACTAAAGTAAAAATTAAGAAAAAGTCTTTAGAGAATTTATTAACGACTTGATTTAAATGCCCATTATTATTTCGTATAGCTTTTATGACAACATAAAAGTCTAGGAGGTCTAAGTCTTTGGAAAATGCCAGCTCAAGATAGCTAAATACCTTACTCGTGAGTGCACATACCAATGACTAGTCTATCTCCAAGTCGCCAATCCGTCTGCCGAGCGTGGCGACTATGGTATATCTTCACAATTCTTAGTGAGGCTTAGAAGTTTTATTATTGCTGCCTAATGAAACAGACATATTTTAATGGCCATTTAAAACTAAACTTTTACATTACAAATTATAAAAATTTTAAAAATAGTAAAGTAAATGGAACAAGTAAGTCCTTTTCACAGTGGTAGTTGTTGGTGAGCTTTGGTAGCTCAATAAGTAGTAAAATGATAAGCTAACTCTCCTAGATGGTAAGACTCTTTCTGACTAGGAGTCCGTCTGATTAAGTACCACTATTTATACCTATTTCCGGTCTGAAGGTTCCAGAGACTCCATACAAAAACAGGCTGTGTGGCATTACATCTTAGTCCTCAGAGGTTACAACGCAACTATAGTCTTCTTTGTTTCAAGTTGCCTACAGGTGTCTATGAACTGCAGTAGACCATCCAGTGAACGTTAAGTTTCGTTTATTACTTCAGTTTTATACAAAAATGGTCGAGTTCAATACAAGCAGGCGCCAACAAAATTGTTAAGTGCCCATTTTCGGTAAGATTATAGATAAATTACAAAAAATTATAAATAACCCTGCAATATATACACATTTTATGATATATTAAGTTATATAGCGTTATAAAATATAATATTAATTTTAATAATAAATACATATATCTTACTCGTGGGCTTCATAGCAGTCTTCTAAATTAGTCCTATTTAATATTTATTTTCATAAACAATGATAACACATTTTAAAATTTAAACCATTACAGATATGTAACTCTTGGCGGAAGTCAGTCGCGTTACTCGTTCAGAGTGCCTCTGAACGGCTGTGGATCTCGACCTCTGTGCAATGCTTGTGGAACAATTGATAATGTTCTCGTATTCCAAGCCGATGACTTCGTTCAGGGTTCACTGGACTTTGCTAGAAAGGTATAAAATACTCTATGATAATTTTTAACTCAACTGTGTTTTCAAAAAAAAATTCGTTTCACACTATTCCTATATTAATGCAATAATGAATTCTATAGTTATAATTTTAAAAACGTTACCTCTAATGTTAAATTTTGACTATTAAATAATCGTGAGATTAAAAAATATAATATATATAACAAATCCAGATAATCGTTATTTTATTGTAGGTATCATGTGTAAGGACTTCACTGGAAGTATCAACTGGTGGAACGAGAGAGGAGCAAACGCACGTTTTAAAACTTAAACCATTTATGGTGGATATGCTCGATGTGGTTGCTGTCCAAGGTCCCGCTGGTGGGGTTGAGTGCTGGATGGATATTCAAAAAGGAGTATTTCCTAACGTATGTTTAAAATTTAAAAAGATTTGTTAATTGAAACAGAAATTGTAACAATTATAAAAATTTTAAATTTAAGCGGAAATTGTCCAATGTAACTTTATATTCCTTTGATATGAATACAAGTTCGGATCAAATTTTTCATCTTCTGTCATTGATTTATAAATATACTTTTCTTTCAGACTACTCCTTTTGAAAGTTCAATCAAAATTGGTGAATATCTAACAATCTTAGTGTACTTGAAGGACGTAAGAAACCAATTTAATCTTAAAATTCACGACTGCTGGGCTTATGATAGCGACAGCTACGACAGCCCTAAGACGAATAAAATACAACTAACCGATAAACAAGGATGTCCTAAGTAAGTAATAATGACACTCTAAAAGTCACGTAAATTTAAATGCATCACATGGAAATCGTTAAAGTAATCCGTCATTTCGTGCAATTGGTTTGTCATATGCTATTCGACTTCCAAATAAGTTTTCTCATCACACATCTCTTGTTCCGAGTATTATCATCACTTATTCAACTCCAATCGAATAACATTATTAAGTTTTTTTTATTTGTAGGTACTTGTTCTGGTATTTCAAGACCAATATCGCTAGTTTTAATATTAGTGAAACATTATAATTGAACATTTTTACACTGCTTTTTTGCGCCCAGAAGCAAATAAGGGCTATTCTCCGGGAAGCGAGAGAGGGAGGTGGTGAAAGCTGAAAGCATGCCACGCAGCCGGCTGCGTGGTTATGTCGGACTTTTACCCACTAAACACCAGCTGTGAAACTGGCTTTAACCTGTTAAGACCGTACAGCCGTATCGGAAGCAACCCCCCTTGGTTGAAAGTGGGGCGCAGTCATTTATACTGCTGTCGTCTGGTTGGGATATATATAGAGGCTTACTAACTTATACGTCGGTAGAAACAATTATTTAGGTCCCACTGAGGATCCACTTTAGCAATACAAGAGTTCAAGAATTGAATTTCTTTCAGTAGTCCATCCAGGTGACAGAGAAATTCCAATGGTTGTGGTTTAACCGGCTTTCCAATGACGCCGTAAATGAGGAATTGTTCTTTGATTTCACGATCCCCGCCCTGACATCCATTCTAAGTGTCGAATGATTTTCGCACTCGAACTGGATGTTGGTGGATAACTTAAGTAAAAACTATAAGCCTATGGTATTCTGAAACGAAACTTTGCTTTAAGTAATATTTAATTTAATTTAAATTATAATATTTTTTTATTTATTATTGAATTCAGTGGATTCTCTGCTCTACTTTAATGTAGTAAAGTAGAGCAGATATGTCAAACCTTACCTCCATTCACAAGAAACAAGATAATAAAATGTAACAGATCTAGTAAAATAAAATTAATTTAAATAAAACATTAACAGAATTTATGCATAGAAAAATCATAAAACGACATAAACATTTATTTAATTGAAATACTGATACTATATTAAAACTTTTAAAGGAAGAAAAAACTCATCGATCAATGGCAAAAGTCTACAAATACTGGCAAAAGTGGGGCAACTTTGATTGCGTATAGTAAAGTTAGCGCTTTTCGATTTCCCGAAACGGATCAAGTATATTTAACCTGTAATGTTGAGGTATGTAGTATTTTATAGATGTGTTTCTTGTAAACAATTACGTAAGTAATAGTGTTTTTATCATACCTTGATCGAAAGTTCGTATTTTAACCTTACTTTCAGGGACGAAAGGGCCTCATTGCCTGCTCGATTATTTATTGACTTATTAATTTAGTACTCATGTGTCAAATTTCCAGTTCTATTGTTTTTAATCGTCATATATATGTCACGATACATTTTAAGGTACATTTATTTCAACCAAGGTATGACAGAAATAGTAAATGCAGTATGGGAGGAAAGAATGACATTTCAACCCGCGTTCTTATCAATTGACAATGCCACGAGGGTTACTATGACAAACTTTCTTTCGTCGTGGAATAATTTACTATTATTTACATGTACATATACATATAAAACGACTAAGATTTGAAATACTGATACACCTAGGTTTAGCTGAAGAAATTATAAATGCCTAATTTACGCAGTTTCTAAATTGTTGGTATGTTAATTTCTAATTATAGCTACGCACATACCATAATGAAGAATTTTCACAAAATAAAATATTTTTTCAATATACAAATATTTTTAAAAATAATAACTCGATGAAGATAAACGAATCGTAAGTTAAAGAGAACGGAGACGACCAAACAGACCCTGGGTAGGGCTGCTGCTTGACCGCATAACGCTACGCATGTGTTTTCCTAGTGTGAGAGATGAACATTACTTGGGCATATGTGAGTAAGAAGAACAATCACGATTGATTTCCAAGCTTTTTATGCGATTTAAAATGGTTACCTTACTACTTAACAAGAAAACAAAAACAAAAGTTTTCAAAATGGCGGCTAATAAAGTTTTTACGACAAATTCAAATATGCATTTGAATTCGGCCACAAGGTCTCTCAGATATTGATTTTAAAAGTAATCGATGCAGAAAATTATTGCATTTCTAAAAACAAATCAGAATCGTAGACCTTGCGAATTTTCAAATATTTGACCAAATTCCTGCATATCTCACCAGGTTGTCAATCCATCTAGCGGGGAGCTGGTCGCCTTACACTTCGGTTACAGGTACAAGACTGTAACTCGAGAACCTTCCTCATCGGTTGACAGTTCTTCGAGTCATATTGCCATTTCAGTTTAATGATCCGTTAGGCCATGTCGGCTACTCTGGTTCTACTGCGGATATCCTAATTTTTAAGTCTATCGTGTGGAGAAGCTCCAAATGTAGCCTAAACGTTGTTCGGCCGTGTTTAATCCGTCAATTGACCTTTCGGGCCCAGTCGGACTTACCTAGTCAGACAATTAGTTCTAAGTAAACACCTCGTAAGCCGTGGTTACTCAGATGCTTAACGATCGCTGTAAATATAACAGAACGCGAATAACCCAGGTTCGAACCCCGCTGGCACCAATTAAATTATTAATTACAATTTTAAGTGCTGATTTACCACGTGCTCGGCGGTGAAGGAAAACATCGTGAGGAAACCTGCATGTCTGAGGAATAAGTCAAAAAAATATTTCGAAGACACGTTAAGTTCGCCAACAAGTACTGGGGCTGCGCGGCGGATACTTCCTTGCCCTAAAACCCTCTCAGAAATGAGGGGAGACCTGTGCCCAGCAGTGGGACGTCAATAGGCTGTAACTTTACTTTACTTTACTCGTTGATAGCTTCCAGCGTAGTGCTCCTAACAGTTACCAGCATATTTTTGATATGGACGTTACACATGACCCATGTTTTTTCCACGTTGATTTTAAAACCTATCCGCTAGAAGACATTAATGAGTCATGGAACATAGTGCTGTCGTCTTCGAGCAATTCTGCCATAAAAACTATATCGTCGGCAAATACAATGTGAGTCATGTACTCACCATTGATGTTTATACCGTATCCTTTCCAGTTCAGTAGCTTGAAAACGTCTCAACGTCTTCTTTTCGTAGTACACCTGTCCTGATGGAGTCTTTGTTATTAGCGAAGGCAAACCCGAGCGAGGTGATATCGAAGATATTGCGAACAGTTTTTTTTAAGGAAAGTTCCTTCAATTACCAACACGCAAAGACGTTAGAAAATCAAAAAACGCATAATATTTAGATGAAGCAAAAATTTCGCCTGTACCACTTGCAATTAAGAGTTTTTGTAAAATATTATGAAGTGACAAATTAGCACGGCATTTGGATAAAATATGATGCGTGCAGTGAATCCCAATGTCAGTTTTAAATTACAAATAGACGAAGATATTTGACGAAAATATTATAGGCCCATTCGAGCGGCCAGACAACCTAGATGGGTCAAACTTTTTTTCCAAAATAATTTTATATATGGGACTTCAAGCCACAACTCTGCTATTATAATGCTTAAGCATCTTAGAGACATTCTAAATTGATGCTTTTGTATCATAGACCTTACATACCACGTATGTATGACCGCAAGTATGTGTCTCCGGCAACTCCCTTATAAAAGCAATCGTTACATGAGCACCGTCTAGCAATACGTAATATAAGAACACGCTAAATAACATAGAATTTTTTAAACCAATTTCCCAATTATAATAAAAATGTTATTCTATTAGTTCCATTATTTAATACCTTTTGAATATTTTAAGTAGAGTTTTAATAAATTTAATGTTTTTTAAAGGCTAAAAATGATATGTTCGAAAATAATGTATGTTAACGTTAAGCTTATTGCATTTTAATTCTTTAAAATAATACATTTAAGATATTTTTAGACGACTTTACGTAGAAAACAGTTATAATTTATTATTAATAATAATGCGCTGTCACAACCTCAAGAAAAAGAAGAGCGCTGGTATATGCGGCTGCTAAAAAATCTTTGTAATGACGTGGCAGATATTACAGCACGAGAGAGCCAATATGAACACTTATTTTAAATCAAAATTATTTATTACTTATCATAGATAAAATCTTACACACTTATGAACTAATATCTAATTTTGCAACTTTTCTCTTTTTCCAAAAAAGCTTAGTTTTAAAAAGAAACATGAGAAAACATTTTAAAAACAGCGTAAAGTAGGCATAATTACGAGTATATTATTGAAGAAGTTGGCCACACACGAGGCCATACCTTCTTTCCAAAAAAAAAAAATGCTCAAATTTAATCAACAAAACGAATACACCAGTATTTTGCATGCCTCGACATTCCTGAGTATTCTTAGAAAAAATACTTTGGATTTTCCTAAATTACTGCCGCAGTACAAATTAACGGGACTAAAGGTACCAAATTCAGTTCTTTTTTTTTTAAATCATGTACCTCTCATACCCACTTGGCTATTTATTTGTTTGAACATTTTTCTTAGAGGCGTTGGTCTGTCCTATAGAGTTATCAGATATTTAACCGATACCGTGTATGTGCGAAGTTGGGCGTATTGAGAGAAAATACGAGAAGAGAGTGTGCTACAAGTGAGAAAACGTTTCTTAATTTTCAGCTCTGTAGGAGTAACTGCGACTCATCATGTGATGGGTCAATCAAGGAAATTTCAACAACATTCAGACCACAGACACAGTGTTACCCAGGCTCTTTGGATCCACAGTGTCAGTTAAATACTGCACCGCCCCAAATTAAATGCTATCCCGATAGTTCTGACCCACAATGTAAGGAACCTACACCAGCGCCACCAAAATGCTACCCGGGATCAGACGACCCACGTTGTCCCAAAGCTTCAACTCCCCCACCAACCAAATGTTACCCTGGAAGCACCGACCCCCGCTGTCCCACACCAACCAAACCCGATGCATCAAGATGCTACCCGGGATCAGATGATTCTCGATGCCCACAACAAACTACTCCCACCCCACCAAAATGCTATCCTGGAAGCAAAAATCCGCGTTGTCCTAAACCGACAACTCCCGCCCCACCAAATTGTTACCCAGGCAGCAATGACCCCCGCTGTCCTAAACCAACCAAACCCGAGGCACCCAACTGCTACCCCGGAAGCACCGATCAACGGTGTCCGAAACCAACTACACCTTCCCAACCAAATTGTTATCCCGGAAATAGTGACCCTCGTTGTCCTAAACCAACTACACAAGCCCCGCCTAGGTGTTATCCGGGCTCTTCCGACCCGAGATGCCCCCAACCAACAACTCCTGCTCCTCCGAAATGTTTCCCTGGAAGCAACGATCCTAGATGTCCTAAGCCTACGACTCCCAAACCAGTTTGTTACCCAGGTTCTTCTGATCCCAACTGCCCCCAGCCATCTAGACCAACGACATTAAATCCACCTACGTATTTACCTCCGACAACATCGCAACAGAAATGTTTCCCAGGATCCTCAGACCCTAGTTGTACACAACCTACAACACCCACTCCACCAAATTGCTATCCTGGAAGCACTGACCCACGTTGCCCTAAACCAACAACACCCGCTCCACCTAAGTGTTACCCAGGCTCTAACGATCCACGTTGTCCGAAACCAACTACACCCCGCTCCACCAAGATGTTATCCAGGATCAAATGACCCTCGTTGTCCCAAACCAACTACACAAGCTCCGCCTAGGTGTTATCCAGGCTCTTCCGACCCGAGATGCCCCCAACCAACAACTCCCGCTCTTCCGAAATGTTTCCCTGGAAGCAACGATCCTAGATGTCCTAAGCCTACGACTCCCAAACCAGTTTGTTACCCAGGTTCTTCTGATCCCAACTGCCCCCAGCCATCTAGACCAACGACATTAAATCCACCTACGTATTTACCTCCGACAACATCGCAACAGAAATGTTTCCCAGGCTCCTCAGACCCTAGTTGTACACGACCTACAACACCCACTCCACCAAATTGCTATCCTGGAAGCACTGACCCACGTTGCCCTAAACCAACAACACCCGCTCCACCTAACTGTTACCCAGGCTCTAACGATCCACGTTGTCCGAAACCAACTACACCCACACCACCCAGATGTTTCCCTGGTTCAGAAGACCCACGTTGTCCAAAGCCAACAACGCCGGCTCCTCCTAGATGTTACCCAGGAAGTACAGATCCTCGTTGCCCGAAACCAACTACTCCTGCTCCACCAAACTGTTACCCCGGAAGCACAGATCCGCGCTGTCCTAAACCGACAACTCCAGCCCAACCCAACTGTTATCCGGGCAGCAGCGACCCACGCTGTCCTAAACCAACCACACCCGAGGCTCCGAGATGCTACCCGGGATCAGATGATCCTCGTTGTCCGAAACCTACAACCACCGCTCGACCCAACTGTTACCCAGGAAACACTGACCCACGTTGTCCTAGGCCAACTACACCCACTCCGCCAAAGTGTTTCCCAGGTTCCAACGATCCACGTTGTCCGAAACCAACTACACCCGCTCCACCAAGATGTTATCCAGGATCAAATGACCCTCGTTGTCCCAAACCAACTACACAAGCTCCGCCTAGGTGTTATCCAGGCTCTTCCGACCCGAGATGCCCCCAACCAACAACTCCCGCTCTTCCGAAATGTTTCCCTGGAAGCAACGATCCTAGATGTCCTAAGCCTACGACTCCCAAACCAGTTTGTTACCCAGGTTCTTCTGATCCCAACTGCCCCCAGCCATCTAGACCAACGACATTAAATCCACCTACGTATTTACCTCCGACAACAACGCAACAAAAATGTTTCCCGGGCTCCTCAGACCCTAGTTGTCCACGACCTACAACACCCGCTCCTCCAAATTGCTATCCTGGAAGCACTGACCCACGTTGCCCTAAACCAACAACACCCGCTCCACCTAAGTGTTACCCAGGCTCTAACGATCCACGTTGTCCGAAACCAACTACACCCGCTCCACCACGATGTTATCCAGGATCAAATGACCCTCGTTGTCCCAAACCAACTACACAAGCTCCGCCTAGGTGTTATCCAGGCTCTTCCGACCCGAGATGCCCCCAACCAACAACTCCAGCTCCTCCGAAATGTTTCCCTGGAAGCAACGATCCTAGATGTCCTAAGCCTACGACTCCCAAACCAGTTTGTTACCCAGGTTCTCCTGATCCCAACTGCCCTCAGCCGTCTAGGCCAACAACATTAAATCCACCTACGTATTTACCTCCGACAACATCGCAACAAAAATGTTTCCCGGGCTCTTCAGACCCTAGTTGTCCACGACCTACAACATCCGCTCCTCCAAATTGTTATCCTGGAAGCACTGACCCACGTTGCCCTAAACCAACAACGCCCGCTCCACTAAATTGTTATCCTGGGACCGCCCCCTCTAACTGTTACCCAGGCTCTAACGATCCCCGTTGTCCGAAACCAACTACACCCACACCACCCAGATGTTTCCCTGGTTCAGACGACCCACTTTGTCCAAAGGCAACAACGCCGGCTCCTCCTAGATGTTACCCAGGAAGTACAGATCCTCGTTGCCCGAAACCAACTACTCCTGCTCCACCAAACTGTTACCCCGGAAGCACAGATCCGCGCTGCCCTAAACCCACAACACCAGCCCCACCCAACTGTTATCCCGGCAGCAGCGACCCCCGCTGTCCTATACCAACCACACCCGAGGCTCCGAGATGCTACCCGGGATCAGATGATCCTCGTTGTCCGAAACCTACTACCACCGCTCGACCCAACTGTTACCCAGGAAACACTGACCCACGTTGTCCTAAGCCAACTTCACCCGCGCCGCCAAAGTGTTTCCCAGGTTCCAACGATCCACGTTGTCCGAAACCAACTACACCCGCTCCACCAAGATGTTATCCAGGATCAGATGACCCACGGTGTCCGAAACCAACTACGCCTTCCCAACCAAATTGTTATCCCGGAAATAATGACCCTCGTTGTCCCAAACCAACTACAGAAGCCCCGCCTAGGTGTTATCCAGGCTCTTCCGACCCGAGATGCCCCCAACCAACAACTCCTGCTCCTCCGAAATGTTTCCCTGGAAGTAACGATCCTAGATGTCCTAAGCCTACGACTCCCAAACCAGTTTGTTACCCAGGTTCTCCTGATCCCAACTGCCCCCAGCCGTCTAGGCCAACAACATTAAATCCACCTACGTATTTACCTCCGACAACATTGCAACAAAAATGTTTCCCGGGCTCTTCAGACCCTAGTTGTCCACGACCTACAACACCCGCTCCTCCAAATTGTTATCCTGGAAGCACTGACCCACGTTGCCCTAAACCAACAACGCCCGCTGCACCTAACTGTTACCCAGGCTCTAACGATCCACGTTGTCCGAAACCAACTACACCCACACCACCCAGATGTTTCCCTGGATCAGACGACCCACGTTGTCCAAAGCCAACAACGCCGGCTCCTCCTAGATGTTACCCAGGAAGTACAGATCCTCGTTGCCCGAAACCAACTACTCCTGCTCCACCAAACTGTTACCCCGGAAGCACAGATCCGCGCTGTCCTAAACCGACAACTCCAGCCCCACCCAACTGTTATCCCGGCAGCAGCGACCCCCGCTGTCCTAAACCAACCACACCCGAGGCTCCGAGATGCTACCCGGGATCAGAGGATCCTCGTTGTCCGAAACCTACAACCACCGCTCGACCTAACTGTTACCCAGGAAACACTGACCCACGTTGTCCTAAGCCAACTACACCCGCTCCGCCAAAGTGTTTCCCAGGTTCCAATGATCCACGTTGTCCGAAACCAACTACACCCGCTCCACCAAGATGTTATCCAGGATCAAATGACCCACGGTGTCCTAAACCAACTACGCCTTCCCAACCAAATTGTTATCCCGGAAATAGTGACCCTCGTTGTCCCAAACCAACTACACAAGCCCCGCCTAGGTGTTATCCAGGCTCTTCCGACCCGAGATGCCCCCAACCAACAACTCCTGCTCCTCCGAAATGTTTCCCTGGAAGCAACGATCCTAGATGTCCTAAGCCTACGACTCCCAAATCAGTTTGTTACCCAGGTTCTCCTGATCCCAACTGCCCTCAGCCGTCTAGGCCAACAACATTAAATCCACCTACGTATTTACCTCCGACAACATCGCAACAAAAATGTTTCCCGGGCTCTTCAGACCCTAGTTGTCCGCGACCTACAACACCCGCTCCTCCAAATTGTTATCCTGGAAGTACTGACCCACGTTGCCCTAAACCAACAACGCCCGCTCCACCTAACTGTTACCCAGGCTCTAAAGATCCACGTTGTCCGAAACCAACTACACCCACACCACCCAGATGTTTCCCTGGTTCAGACGACCCACGCTGTCCAAAGCCAACAACGCCGGCTCCTCCTAGATGTTACCCAGGAAGTACAGATCCTCGTTGCCCGAAACCAACTACTCCTGCTCCACCAAACTGTTACCCCGGAGGCACAGATCCGCGCTGTCCTAAACCGACAACTCCAGCCCCACCCAACTGTTATCCCGGCAGCAGCGACCCCCGCTGTCCTAAACCAACCACACCCGAGGCTCCGAGATGCTACCCGGGATCAGAGGATCCTCGTTGTCCGAAACCTACAACCACCGCTCGACCCAACTGTTACCCAGGAAACACTGACCCACGTTGTCCTAAGCCAACTACACCCGCTCCGCCAAAGTGTTTCCCAGGTTCCAACGATCCACGTTGTCCGAAACCAACTACACCCGCTCCACCAAGATGTTATCCAGGATCAAATGACCCACGGTGTCCTAAACCAACTACGCCTTCCCAACCAAATTGTTATCCCGGAAATAATGACCCTCGTTGTCCCAAACCAACTACACAAGCCCCGCCTAGGTGTTATCCAGGCTCTTCCGACCCGAGATGCCCCCAACCAACAACTCCTGCTCCTCCGAAATGTTTCCCTGGAAGCAACGATCCTAGATGTCCTAAGCCTACGACTCCCAAACCAGTTTGTTACCCAGGTTCTCCTGATCCCAACTGCCCTCAGCCGTCTAGGCCAACAACATTAAATCCACCTACGTTTTTACCTCCGACAACATCGCAACAAAAATGTTTCCCGGGCTCTTCAGACCCTAGTTGTCCACTACCTACAACACCTGCTCCCCCAAATTGTTATCCTGGAAGCACTGACCCACGTTGCCCTAAACCAACAACGCCCGCTCCACCTAACTGTTACCCAGGCTCTAACGATCCACGTTGTCCGAAACCAACTACACCCACACCACCCAGATGTTTCCCTGGTTCAGACGACCCACGTTGTCCAAAGCCAACAACGCCGGCTCCTCCTAGATGTTACCCAGGAAGTACAGATCCTCGTTGCCCGACACCAACTACTCCTGCTCCACCAAACTGTTACCCCGGAAGCACAGATCCGCGCTGTCCTAAACCTACAACTCCAGCCCCACCCAACTGTTATCCTGGCAGCATCGACCCCCGCTGTCCTAAACCAACCACACCCGAGGCTCCGAGATGCTACCCGGGATCAGAGGATCCTCGTTGTCCGAAACCTACAACCACCGCTCGACCCAACTGTTACCCAGGAAACACTGACTCACGTTGTCCTAAGCCAACTACACCCGCTCCGCCAAAGTGTTTCCCAGGTTCCAATGATCCACGTTGTCCGAAACCAACTACACCCGCTCCACCAAGATGTTATCCAGGATCAAATGACCCACGGTGTCCGAAACCAACTACACCTTCCCAACCAAATTGTTATCCCGGAAATAGTGACCCTCGTTGTCCTAAACCAACTACACAAGCCCCGCCTAGGTGTTATCCAGGCTCTTCCGACCCGAGATGCCCCCAACCAACAACTCCTGCTCCTCCGAAATGTTTCCCTGGAAGCAACGATCCTAGATGTCCTAAGCCTACGACTCCCAAACCAGTTTGTTACCCAGGTTCTCCTGATCCCAACTGCCCTCAGCCGTCTAGGCCAACAACATTAAATCCACCTACGTATTTACCTCCGACAACATCGCAACAAAAATGTTTCCCGGGCTCCTCAGACCCTATTTGTCCACGACCTACAACATCCGCTCCTCCAAATTGTTATCCTGGAAGCACTGACCCACGTTGCCCTAAACCAACAACGCCCGCTCCACTTAACTGTTACCCAGGCTCTAACGATCCACGTTGTCCGAAACCAACTACACCCACACCACTCAGATGTTTCCCTGGATCAGACGACCCACGCTGTCCAAAGCCAACAACGCCGGCTCCTCCTAGATGTTACCCAGGAAGTACAGATCCTCGTTGCCCGAAACCAACTACTTCTGCTCCACCAAACTGAGTCTACCCTGGCAGCAGAGACCCCCGCTGTCCTAAACCAACTACACCCGAGGCTCCGAGATGCTACCCGGGATCAGAGGATCCTCGTTGTCCGAAACCTACAACCACCGCTCGACCCAACTGTTACCCAGGAAACACTGACCCACGTTGTCCTAAGCCAACTACACCCGCTCCGCCAAAGTGTTTCCCAGGTTCCAATGATCCACGTTGTCCGAAACCAACTACACCCGCTCCACCAAGATGTTATCCAGGGTCAAATGACCCACGGTGTCCGAAACCAACTACGCCTTCCCAACCAAATTGTTATCCCGGAAATAATGACCCTCGTTGTCCCAAACCAACTACACAAGCCCCGCCTAGGTGTTATCCAGGCTCTTCCGACCCGAGATGCCCCCAACCAACAACTCCTGCTCCTCCGAAATGTTTCCCTGGAAGCAACGATCCTAGATGTCCTAAGCCTACGACTCCCAAACCAGTTTGTTACCCAGGTTCTCCTGATCCCAACTGCCCTCAGCCGTCTAGGCCAACAACATTAAATCCACCTACGTATTTACCTCCGACAACATCGCAACAAAAATGTTTTCCGGGCTCTTCAGACCCTAGTTGTCCACGACCTACAACATCCGCTCCTCCAAATTGTTATCCTGGAAGTACTGACCCACGTTGCCCTAAACCAACAACACCCGCTCCACCTAACTGTTACCCAGGCTCTAACGATCCACGTTGTCCGAAACCAACTACACCCACACCACTCAGATGTTTCCCTGGATCAGACGACCCACGCTGTCCAAAGCCAACAACGCCCGCTCCTCCTAGATGTTACCCAGGAAGTACAGATCCTCGTTGCCCGAAACCAACTACTTCTGCTCCACCAAACTGCTACCCTGGCAGCAGAGACCCCCGCTGTCCTAAACCAACTACACCCGAGGCTCCGAGATGCTACCCGGGATCAGAGGATCCTCGATGTCCGAAACCTACAACCACCGCTCGACCCAACTGTTACCCAGGAAACACTGACCCACGTTGTCCTAAGCCAACTACACCCTCTCCGCCAACTTGTTTCCCAGGTTCCAATGATCCACGTTGTCCGAAACCAACTACACCCGCTCCACCAAGATGTTATCCAGGGTCAAATGACCCACGGTGTCCGAAACCAACTACACCTTCCCACACCAGATTGTTATCCCGGTAATAGTGACCCTCGTTGTCCTAAACCAACTTTTAACGCCAGCTCCTCCTAGATGTTACCCAGGAAGTACAGATCCTCGTTGCCCGAAACCAACTACTTCTGCTCCACCAAACTGCTACCCCGGAAGCACAGATCCGCGCTGTCCTAAGCCGACAACTCTAGCCCCACCCAACTGTTACCCTGGCAGCAGAGACCCCCGCTGTCCTAAACCAACCACACCCGAGGCTCCGAGATGCTACCCGGGATCAGATGATCCTCGTTGTCCGAAACCTACGACTACCGCTCGACCCAACTGTTACCCAGGAAACACTGACCCACGTTGTCCTAAGCCAACTACACCCGCTCCGCCAAGATGTTATCCAGGATCAAATGACCCACGGTGTCCGAAACCAACTACACCTTCCCAATTAAATTGTTATCCCGGTAATAATGACCCTCGTTGTCCCAAACCAACTACACAAGCCCCGCCTAGGTGTTATCCAGGCTCTTCCGACCCGAGATGCCCCCAACCAACTACTCCTGCTCCTCCGAAATGTTTCCCTGGAAGCAACGATCCTAGATGTCCTAAGCCTACGACTCCCAAACCAGTTTGTTACCCAGGCTCTCCTGATCCCAACTGCCCTCAACCGTCTAGGCCAACAACATTAAATCCACCTACGTATTTACCTCCGACAACATCGCAACAAAAATGTTTTCCGGGCTCTTCAGACCCTAGTTGTCCACGACCTACAACATCCGCTCCTCCAAATTGTTATCCTGGAAGTACTGACCCACGTTGCCCTAAACCAACAACGCCCGCTCCACCTAACTGTTACCCAGGCTCTAACGATCCACGTTGTCCGAAACCAACTACACCCACACCACTCAGATGTTTCCCTGGATCAGACGACCCGCGTTGTCCAAAGCCAACAACGCCGGCTGCTCCTAGATGTTACCCAGGAAGTAAAGATCCGCGTTGCCCGAAACCAACTACTCCTGCTCCTTCAAACTGCTACCCCGGAAGCACAGATCCGCGCTGTCCTAAACCGACAACTCCAGCCCCACCCAACTGTTACCCTGGCAGCAGCGACCCCCGCTGTCCTAAGCCAACCACACAAGTGCCTCCTAAATGTTATCCTGGAAATAATGATCCAAGGTGTCCACAAACTTCTTCCACTCCCAGTTCTTGTTACCCAGGATCCAAAGATCCGAAGTGTCCTCAACCTTTTGCACCAAGTAGCACTAATCCACCTTCAACATACTTACCACCTTTTCCAGAAGAGAATGAGATAAAATCTGGTAGAACTAGCCGACTCTCCGAAAAAAGTTTTGATTATTACGACGAACCTCAATTAAGCGCTGGTAAGTAGTTTTATTTTAAATATGTTAATATTTGTTTTCATCATCATCATTTTCATTACAGCCCTTCACAAGTCCACTGCTGAACATAGGCCTCCCTCAAGGTATGCCACCAAGCACGGTTCTGACCCTCCTGCATCCGTCGACTTCCTGCATGTCTTACCAGGTCGTCACTCCATCTAGTGGGGGTCACCCTACACTTCGCCTACCGGTATGAAGCTGCCACTCGAGAACCTTTTTTCCCCAACGGTTGTCGGTTCTTCGAGCTACATGGCCGGCCCATTGCTACTTAAGCTTACTAATCCGTATATATTTGTTTTAATAAGCCTTATTTTAAAAAGTTTCTATAAGAGATTATTAAATGGAATTCAAAACTAAATTTTCAATAACACAGAGTTAATATTCGATACGCTTTAATAACTGCTTTGGCTTTGATCAGTTGGCTTTAGCTCGACTCGATTTATAACTGATTTCCGAACTATGTCCAGCCGGATAGCCGGTATCTTTGATGTGCTTAAAATTTCTAGAAATCTGTTAGAAAAAAGAAAAGTGAGGTCTTTTATCAACAGTTATAATTAAATATATTTACATTTTCTCCAAGAACTAGAAAGAGCTTTTTGGTATTTTAATGGCGATTCCACACGAACAACAAAATGTGAACTCATATTTTTATTCTTATTTTTCTAATGTTATCCTAAAATATAGCTACACTTAGCCTCTCCATAGCCATGGTAAAAAGTATGCATAGTTATGAAACATGCATTAAGGTCAACATGAATGTTTCATATTCAACTGGATTATCTTTTTAAAGAGGTAGTAGTTTTACCTCTTGCAGCTATATTATGGTTACAGCATGATTGGGTCGGCTTGACCAGGAAAACACCACGCTCTCAAAGAATACCAGCGCAATTCCTTCACCTTTTTACTTGTAACGAGGCATTTTATCTAGTTCTTAGGGACGTCGATGCAACATGTTAATTCATAATCGAGAATAGATGTAAGTGTTTACAGGCCACGGAATCCATTTCAGTCTAAGTGGACTATGTGCTCGTTTTTTACTCCTACTCTATAAGAAACTTCTGAAGGTGTCTGATGAAAGTAAAATAATGCTTTAAAAATACCTCTTCGCTGCTACAGGCCTCCAGCCATTTGTCGCATGCCATCTTTCCACAAATCTTATTTTAGTAGTTGAGTTAGTTACCCTGCTTTGATGACTTTTTCGGTTTAGAGCCTCGCTGTAGCTTAACTTTAAGATTATAAAGACTAATTTATAATCTTCCTAAAGAAAGAAGTTTCCTTCGAGGAACTTCAACCTGCGTAGTAAAAAAGGATATATATTTTTAGTCTAAAATAATGAATGCAACAAAAATGTAATTGATTTAAGAATGGGTTATTTAAAAATTACTGATTTTATCGTGCCTCGTACCGTTATGGAAGATTCTAATCTGTTCTACATAGACCTGATAGGATTTTTTGTAAGATCTTAATCATATAATTTGATAATTGCTCTTTTAAGCTCCGCTATTGTTCTGGAGACTGGATTTCTTACAAACACAGCTCTTTTAAGCTATCCCGTATATTTTCAATTGGACTTTCAACTCCGTGGCTCCGTACTGGCTAATTCATAATGTGTATGACAACCTCAGCTAAACTAGTGCTGTGACTTGCGAGTTGTCTTGCATTGTATTGATATTTTCACCTCTAAAATATCTGTAAAGCATCACATAAGCGTATAGCCGCTATATAACATATAGCCATTATATAACAATGTAATGTTTAACCATTGCCACCATAGTCCCGTGAGACAATGTCTATAAATCAAAATCCTGTATCCAGCGATTCTAAACACAATCAGCCTCTAAAAAGGAACACCCATGTCAACGTTATTCCTTTCGGTGGTAACTGCTTACACTATCCACACATGTTCTACACTTATCAGTAAACAATGGAAGTCCATTTCTGTTCGGTCACAGCGGTGACACTCCCTGTACATGAGAGCTTAAGCGCCGGTGACCTTGAGTCGAAGCGTGTAATGCTAGGGTTGATATCGAACCGAAATGGAATATTATAGACTTGTACCAAAGAAGATACATAGAAGGTATATGTTATATATTATGCAAACTTATGTATTTGGGCAGTGAAAGATACGTTCAATTTGAAATCAACTTTTATTAAATGAGGAATATTAAAACTTCCGACAAAACCAAATATGCACGACAGTTAATGGTAATCTTAAATAATTAACCAACACTTAGTTTTTCAGTACGCAATAATCAGTATTACCTACTATTCTTTAAAAATAATTTACTCTTATATATTTTTGAATTTTTCGATTAATTTTTTAATTTTCATTATTAATTCTAACAATAGCAAAAATTCGTAGCATGTATATTTTTTTTAGAAAATCCAAAGGTATGTAGGTTTCCTGGGACATGGCGGCCAACAAATTGTTCTCTATGTGTTGAGGAGATAAGTTATTTTTATTTCTAATGAAATAATCCATATATACAACAATGAACAAATACAAAAACTCTTTATAGATATCTAAAATTTCTTGACTCTCTAGTGGTATTTTTAATAGTGTATATTTCAGTTAATGTTATATAATAAAATTATTGGCGATATATTAGTTTTATTGTCATGGTATTTCCTTATAATTCTCGTTAAGATCATATCGACTTTCATTAAAATGAGTTCACATATTTTAAGGTATCATAAAACATTATTAAAAATTAAACTAACAAAACAAGGGTCCTTGTTTTGTGCAGTGGAATTTATTTTAATTTTTATCACTTAAAATCACTTTCAGTAATACTTATACATATACAATAATATTATTTATTTAATAACAACATTAATATTTATCAAAGCATATAAACCCGCTATAAAAACTAATAACGTTACTTGGTAACATAAACTACATGAATAGAATAGTAATATGTACATTAAGATATCAGTAATATTCATATATTAATTGAAATATTATAATATCACTTGACGAATATATTCATATTAACTAATACTGACAAATATCGGTATTACTACTAGCCCTCGGCCAGGGCAGAAGGCGACTGCCCGTTCCACGCCCCGCGCGTCTCTCAAGGCCCCCGCACACATCCAGACACCCACACATAGCCGCAAGCGATTTTACGTGCACACATACTTAAGTGTCGTTTCTTTTCGCGTAGTGTATATATTCTTTGGTTCGGTCCAATTTACTTGCTCATGTGCAAATCTTAAGGGCGGCCAACCCGTCTTACTTTTCATACAAACGCTCGTTCGTGATTATGGCATTGTAATAGATCTTTCTTTGAAATTTTTGAACTAATAGGTAATCTTGTGCACTATAGCTAGGTTTCTATCAAAACAAAGAATCAAAACTTGGAGGAACAAATTCAGTATAAGCCTCCAAAAATCTGCTTTTTTGCACGAGTCGTGCGGGGTTGGGGCGGGATGAGACGGAGGAGTTGAATGACGCTCGGCTCTCGAGCCTCTCGGAGAATTGTTAGCAGGTAATGGTAAATGGTAATAGAATTTGTTGACTGCGCGTACGCGAATGTGCTGTTGTATTTTAGTGAATTCTGTTTTACCTACTACGACGGCACGGTATATAGATAGAATTACCGTGACGACGGTCTTGTTTTTTTATATTGCACTGCTTTGGTTTGCGAAAGGTTTAGTGTTGTGAACAAACAACAGAAATTATTGACTTACGTTTCCCACGCAAATTGCCAATGAGAGATAGACTCGATGATTGACTGTATTAGATGATAATAATTAATTTTTTTCTAAATTTTCAATCACTTCTGACAGTTTAAAAACTGTTTGTGTTCGGAAAACGGAATCTTCTCGACAACTGGGTTGTTTTATGTATTGTTTATAAAATGTGACAAAGTTTTTTAGAATAAAAATCATATTTACCCAACTGTATTTAGACTACTTTATCTGATCAACCGCCTGTACTACTGTACAAATTAGTACGTAATACAAACACACATTTGTAGTGATTTACATACGGTACGTACACGTTAAATAATTAGGTACCTACGTTACCTAATTTCCGCATCCTCTAATACAATACTAATACAGACAAACTGGATAGATAAAGAATTTATTCTGCTCCTACTACTAGTCCTAAGCAGAATAAATCATTTACCTATACTTTTTCTGCTGTATTTACGTATATGAGGACGAACAAAAAAGTCGAACGGAACTCCCTGCTAAAACAAAACTGAGTCTGGTCTATGTGTGGGTATTGACGTTTGCGCGTGTAATGGTAATGGCTGACTAATGTGTGAATGTGTCCGGGCTTGTACGCACGACGACCATTTTAAAAAATCAGTACAGATCTATCATTATACGGGAAATTGATACAAAGCGAGACCATTGTATACTGGAAATTTCTAGCTTTATGTGTTTACAGTTTTTTACTAGCGAAAATCTGTCTGACTTTCTTTGTTCGTCCATGAGGTACTTGTATGTATATATGAAAGAAGAAAAAGCTAATGTATGTTATAAATAATTTCCATATCGTCAAAAATAACGCACGCAGGGTACATAGATTGGTAAAAATACTACACAAATAAATCTCCCAGGCCAAGCGTTACGTCCGTACTAGACAAAGCATGTAATATAATAAAGTAATACGGTGCTAAATGTTATGGCTATACGCATGCGAGGACATATTTACGAGACGCGCGCGTGCGATTCAATATTATTGTCATGAATGGCTCAGGCTCAGGCTCACTAGCGGATACCGGATAGCGGTCTACCGCCCGCGAGTGAGCGGCAAAAGTTACCGAATGCTAACCGAGCGCTCAGGCGCTATCTCTCTCTTTTCGCTTTGCCTCTTTTTCTAACATTGTGCTGGATGAAACAACAAGCTTTTCAACTATACTCGCGTTGACGATAGACGGGCCGGGAAGGGCCCTTTTAAACGAGTTTGTCTGTTACCTGCTCTACAGCAACGCTCTTCTTCAACTTTAAACTATTTGCTGTCCTTAAAAGGAGAATATTGTACTCCTTCATCCTTCTTCATTAGGGGTGTTACTCGTAAACTGCCAGTACGTTAGTCCACACCAATGCCACACTTTGTGAGATTCTTCCTCTCGGTAGATATTTCCATCTTACCATGGTAAAAGTCTTGTTCAAATAACGAATGCAAGATAATTATTAAATTGGTAACGAAAATTATAAAATTATTGGTAAGATATATGCATTTTATAACTGTCATTTAAAACATTTCCCTAATACCAAATTAGTCTGTTAATTATCCTGTACTTTTATGAAGTTTAAATGTCTGCTAATCTACTATGACTGCAACACGAATAGGTCGACTCGTTCGGAAAACGAACGTAAAATAGTCACTTAATGGAACTGTGTTTTATGATATGGTGTTTGTTTTATATTCTAGTGTTTTATAGTATGACCATAATGTCAGTGTAGCGAACGAAGGCATTCTTCCTTAGTCCGGAGAATGGATTCGCATCTGCATTTTTATTTTTAACAGGGGATAGATTTAGGTGTCCATGGGCCACAGCATCAAGTTACCAGTAGAAGTTCAGCACATAGATGCTCGTTTGTCACCCTTATTTATTTTTTAAAAAAATATTCGAAGTGGTGGACTTCAGTATCTCTTAACTGTTTTATCAAGGATTTTCCAATGACAATACATGAAGTCCAGTACATGTTATTTAACTACTGGCACAAAACTTGCACCAGGAACATAACTTTGGTTTCATGTATAACTGTATTGAAAAATTTCCTGCAACAATTAATCATAATCCAGTTAGTTTTTCTTATGTATAACGTATTTTCAGATGACTTCGAGTTTTCCCGAACAAAACCGCGAACAAGAAATATCAGGGATGTAAGCAAACTGCAGGCGAGCTTCCGAGAAGTTTCGAGTGGATTGGGAATAATACATATGTGTATCGGTGGTTCCATATTCCTTGTCGTGTTGTCTATTGCTCTAACTATCTATACTTTTAGACATAAAAGAGCGCGTTACCAAACTGCCATGCAAAGTGGAACAACTTTAAAAAATTATAATCCTTGTTAAAATTTTATCTTGAAAATGAATTTGTGATACTTGTCCTGAGTCTTTATAATGACACCTTACGGTTATGTTGAAATGATATGTAATTTTACATGCTTATATTATGTAGGGACTAACTTATAAAATATAATTATCACTGCCGTCTTAGCTTTATAACATAGTTCCAGGCGCTTAAAAGAAGTTGCCTATTTTATTTTGTATAAAATAGTGCCATAGAATTTGAAACTAATCAAATTAAAACCTTTGAAAATTGATACAGTTGTCAAAACACAGAATACTACCAGCAACAATCATTCACAGAAATATGATATGAAATTTAAATAACTATTGTAAATATTATCACTAGTCAAAATGTTTTAACGATGACATTTAATTATTTCTAGAAAGAAACCGATTATCTCTATAATTTCTTTTGCCATTCAAGTTTGCTTCGCGTTCGAACTCTGCTCAAAGTTTTAATTTTTATTGTGAAATAAAGAAGCGTAAATTTAAGCTCGAAATTTATTTTTTTAACGTTTAACATGATATATATTGGTTGAGTTAAACGTTTTTTCAAATCACGCTTAAAGTTTTATTATGCTATTTGACGATGTGGTTGTTTACTAAAAGTATTCCCCAGGGCTAATACTATGTATATATTAAGACCTTGGTAAATGTCAGCAGTGAGAAAGTGTAACTATAGTGGAAAAGTTGAAATATCATCATCATCAGACTTCATTTTGAAGTTTGACGTTTGGCTTCGTTATATTGTGTAAAGGTATCACAGTATAAATTATAAGCTGATGTTTCTTTTAGGTTAGAAAGTAATATCATGATAAAAGAAAATAACCCAATAAATGAATGATTCCTACCGGCAATGACTCCCACTAGAGTTACACAATCGCATTGCTGGTTTATTTTTTATAATTAATATTTGGGTTTCAAAAATGAAGTAATATTATGTAAACGATTTTAATGTATATTATTTGACTCATTTTGTGATATTCTTTATTTTTGTATATAATTTGCCAGTAAATTAAATGTGGCCATTCTATTGTATAAATAGTTTTTAAACACTGCAATGTTAAGCGACTGATACGTTTTAGGTAGTAAAAATATTTTGATATTTTGTACAAATCTTTTTACTATCTGTGAATGTTCCAGTCAAAGAAATGAAAAAATGAACTAAATGTTTGTGAGATTGCTTAACGAATCAATTTAAATAAACATTCTATGAATGTTAAACATTGTTTTATTTCTATTTTATTCTTGTACCTACTTCTTTTCTAGCGTTTGAGTATTACGGAATACTACTTATTGACGTATTACGGAGTATTACGGACCGCAGTTATATTAGTAGTATAGAGTTGTAGCATGAATGGGTCGACTCAACCAGAGAAGGACCACGCTCTTACATAGTACCAGCGTAAAATAGCAGCGTAATACTGCTGTGTTTCATATGGTGAGTGTAGAGAACCGGAGAACCTTTTTTACTGGAAACGAGGTATTCTATCATAGTCTTCAGGGGTGACAACGCATCTGCATTCGCGGATAGATGTAGATGTCTATGGGCCAAAGTAACAAATTACCATCAGGTGAACTGTGTGCTTGTTTATCACCCTATCCTATAAAAAAATCTCAAAGTTTTTAGCCCTTAAGTATCCAAAGCTTAAAGTAAAGGTACAGCCTATATATGTCCCACTGCTGGGCACAGGTCTCCCCTCAAGGAAGTGTCCGCCGCGCTGCCCCAATGCGTGTTGGCGAACTTCACATGCTTCGAAATATTTTTTTCTTATTCCTCAGACATGCACGTTTCGCACGATGTTTTCCTTCACCGCCGAGCACGTGATAAATCAGCACTTAAAATTGCAATTAACAATTTCATAGATGCCGACGGAGATCGAACGCGGGTGATTCGCGTTCTGTTATTTACAGCGAGCATTAAGCATCTGAGTTAGCACGGCTCCTATCCAAATCCAAAGCTTCTTCCATACCAATTATGTAGTATATATTGTAAGTAAATATTTATTGCCCTACACAGACGCACAATTTTAAAAAAGTTAAAAAATATGGAATAAATTGTTATAATTTATTCCAATTTGTTTTCATCCAAATTATGCTGAGTGCCTTAATTTTCATGCAGCACGCAATCAAACTGATATATAACGCGTGTTTTTCAGTGTACAATTTAAGTTTACAATTCGTCTTCACGATACCGAAAAATTTCTTTTCCAGGGACTTAAAAAAAGATATACTACACATTTTGATAGATCCACGATGAGCATAGCTGAAGCACGAATTGACCCAGTCATGCTCGCACACACTCATCGCACATGGATCTATTAAAATGGGCAGTATATCTTTTTATATAATGATTTCTTAAATTTACGCGAACACTACACATTGAATAAAACTATAAACGTAAATATAGTTTTATTCAATAGTTAATTGTAGTTATTCTTCAGGGGTGATGACGCGTCTATATTTTGATTTTAAATCTACAATTCAAGGCCGCATCCACTTAGTAACATCACCTCTTCGATTAATTATATATTTGATCGAAGCATCACCTGCTTAAATTATCCCACTTGGAAAGTTCAACTTTGACCAACAGATCAATTGACGGATTCGAGAAATTACAAAATATACTCATATTTTCTTCTTGTATTCCCCAAAACCTTAGAAAAAGAGTGTGCAACTAGTGCGTGTTTCCAATGATGTTGTCAAGAGAACTGAGACGTGGTCCTATACTGCTAGTCATATGAGCAAGCTTAAGGTCAACAAGCTACGGAGAGGGCTATGCTCGTCTTTTCTCTGCGTGAAGGAATCCGTAACGATGAAATCCACCGCAGAATTAGAGTAACCGAAATAGCCCAACGGATCCGAAGCTAAAGTGGCAATGGATTTTTCATATACTTCGACGAACCGACAACTGACGGGGAAGAAAGGTTCTAAAGTGTCAGCTACGTACCGACAAGTGGTGGAGCGTAAGACGATTCTTTATTAGATGGAGTGAAGACCTGGTAAAACATGAAGTCGGTTAATGGAGTGTCTTAGGGTCTACTTTGAGAGGCTTTACCGAAGATTTACCATGCGCTTAACGGTGAATTTTACTAAGCCCCGTGATTACTTACAAAAAGGCATTTCAAGGACATTTAAAGTCCGGCAACAAAATAGAGCTGCGTAAATGTATCATATTTATCGTCGTTAATCTTGTTTTTAAAAGTTGTTGTCTGAATTTTCATATCCAATGCCTATCTTCAACCCACATTTCCCTTTTCAATCCGTTTAACTATCTATCTAGATACCACCACAAATACGGCACTGAAAACTTCGGGAATCAAGGAAGTGACACAACATTACTATTTAAAAATGTATTTATTGCTTTTCGAAGTATTCTCCGCGAAATTTGACACATTTTTCCATACGATGGAACCAATCATTGAAGCAACCATTCCACGGAAGTTGGGGTCTCCAAAATGGCCGTTTTGTAGGCGTCCACAGCTTCTTTAGGTGATGAAAATCTCTGTCCACGCAATTTATTCCTTATTTTAGGGAAAATATAGAAATCATTAGGGCTTAGGTCGGGTCTGTACGGCGGATGGTCTAATAATTCTATGTTTTCTTGCTCTAAAAACTCTTTTGTTCTGTGTGCGGTGTGAGAACTCGCATTGACGTGATGGAGGATGTTGCGGCGGTTGCAGTTCTCTTTACGGAGTTCAGAAACGACCTGTGGCAAACAAATGCTAGCATACCATTCTGCATTAAATATCTCATTTTCAAGAAGGGAATTGTATCATAACAACATTGAATGATATTGTTATAATCTCAATATATAGGTCACCGTCATATAAAAATTTAGAAAACTTTTTTTGCCTTCTTGGATAGTGTACTACAGAAATATTCGAAACATAAAAACATAATTATAATAGGAGATATAAATATTAACATTTACAATAAAACAGATATTAATTCGGATACGTATTTACAACTGACAGCATTCCATGGGTTACTACCCACTCATACTCTAGTAACACGTGACACAAGTGGTTCGTTGTATTGATCATGTTCTGCTAAAAACGAATAATCCTTCACTTACTATGGTTCCTCAAACTTCAATCACTGATCACAAACCTGTAATTTTATGTATGAAAAATAAACAACGTCAACAGTTTTATACAACTACTATCAGAAAAATAGATCACGATAAACTTAATTCGGATATGCAAAACATTGACTTTTTACCTATATATAATATTAAAGATCCAAATACTTCTCTTGAATACTTAGTTAATAAAATAAAAACAGTAATTGAAGTTAATACTAAATTAGTGAAGTTGCCAAGACAAAAAAAGATCATTAAACCTTGGATTACGACTGGTCTTCTTAGATGTATTCGTCACCGTGATAAACTACATAAGAGGGCTAGACGATTTCCAGATAGTGAAAGTGATCAAATTATATACCGACGATATCGTAATCACTGTAACGCATTGTTAAAAAAGGTAAAGAGAAATTATGAAAAAGAGCGAGTGAATATGGCTAAAAATAATAATAAGAAGCTATGGGAAGTACTTACTGATATTATAGGTAACATGAAAAAGAAAGGGTATAACAGAGAACTGTTAAATATATCTAGCACGCCGCAAGTATCTGTTAACCTTATTAATAATTATTTTGTAAATGTAGGTAAAAGTTTGGCAGAGAGTTTTAAGGTAGGAAATAAAAACAGTGAAAGTTTTAATATTAACATTGGTGAAGAATCAAATTATTACTTAAATTCATTTGCTTTATTGGACACGGATGAAAGTGAAGTAGAACAATTAATTGACAATTTGAAAACCGACTGTTAAGTTGGTTGGGATGGAATTTCGAATAAATTTATTAAAAATTTTAAATATTTGTTAATACCTCCTTTAACTTGTATATTTAATCAATGTTTAAATGATGGTGTATTCCCTAGATATCTTAAGAAGTCCGTAATTCGACCTATTTTTAAAGATGGTGAAAAAACCTGTTTAAGT